GTGAGAGAGAATATACGTATATCTGCTTCCTGGCTCTGTTACCTAGGAAGGGCTAGAAACAATGACACACTGACCATCCAGATCTTGGTTCCTAAATATTGATCTCCACTAACTGGAACCAGGGCTCCTGGGAAAAGTAGTCGACTCTCAGGCTAGGACAGGGAATGTACCAGATGAATCTGCAGCGTTTTGGGGCATCAATAACAAAGACATGCTCAGTGTACGCTGAGGATATGTCAAAAGGACACAATAGGCTAGGTGTGATGGTATATGCCTATAATCTCAGCTACGCGGGGGGCAGAAGCAGGAGGATGCATGAGGCCTTTTGTTTAACTCCCCAATACCATAAATAGATAGATAGATAGATAGATAGATAGATAGATAGATAGACAGATAAATAACTGACAAAAGAGCCAGCTGGAAGGAGCTGGAAGGAACCAAAGCTGGGAAAATTTCAATATCAGAATTAATAATGATTATACTGAATGATTACGTCTGGAAGAAAATAAGAATCTGTGACTTACATTGCTAAAACTAAACAAGTAGATAAATGAAATGAGCAGAAGGCAGAGCTGCCCCTCACCGTGAGATGAGAAGGAATAAATGTGGAGGGTAACAGATGCAGACGGGGTGTGTGCATGGTGGCAATGCTGAGGGCAGACTGCATGTTTGCTCCTACAGATGCTCTGCTGGTCCCTTCCTGTCACTAGGAGGGGACATAGCTGAGATGCTTTGAGTGTTGGAAAGCATCCCCCCAGCCTATGGAATGATTTGCCATGTGAAACCTCATTCCTCATGCCTATTAATCTGTCCTCCTTGGAGCCTGGAGTTGTGGTGTCTCCTCTTTGCACTGCCAGTGTCCGCAAAGTGACAGACACACAGTAGGTGCTCAAGTGATGTTAGCTGACCCACCCACCATGTGTGTGGAGAGATGTGTGTCCCCTCCTGCTGTGCACCAACCTCTGAATTGTACATGGACACTTACCCAGCAAACAAGCACATGTGTGTGTGCACAGTATTTCCACTCTATTTAAAGTGGTCAGATGGTCCTACAGCAGTGTGGGACTGAACTCTGTACCAACCCCCAGAAGACAGCGTCCTAATGTTCTTGTTGCATGTGAGAAGTCTCCTTCTTTGGACTGTTTTCTGAGTGTCACCTTCTTCCTCCTATGTCCTCACTGGGTCTCTGCATCCAGATAAATTTCCTGGGTGAGGTGCAGTTCAGTCTTGACTTTTGCTTGAGGCTCACCTGCCCGACTCTTTCCCTGGACACATTAACAGCCAGTGGCCCCTGCTCTGTTAATCTCATGATGTAATGTGCTTTGTAACATGTGATTGTGGTGGACCTGCATTTGCATCCCATCCCAGCCTCCCATTCACTGGTGTCAAACTGTGTGACCGAGAGGAAGTTACTGAACCACTCTGTGCTTGATTGGCTCACTGTTAACCAACGATAGTAATGCCTGTGTCTAATGGTAAATGATCTGATGGAGGTCTGGCGCTTGGTCTGAATCTGGCACACAGTGGCATGAAATGTCAATTTGCTCTCCCCTCCTACTTTCAGAAGTCTGGGGGCAGTTTAGATATAGGGTGGCAATTTTTGGTCTGTATAAATGGGAGCATTTGTTGAAACAGGCAATGGGGCGTGAACATTTACTATACTTTTCACGGGCTCTCTCTGGAGCTCACGAATGATGTCCCACCCAGGGAGTGCTAACCTCTGCCTCCAGCGGTCACAGGCTCTCATAGGCTGCCTGTGACTCAGCGCCACCTGCTTACTTTCCTCCCATCTTTCAACGTTGTCTAGCAGCAAGGGCAGGGCAGGGGCTGCCAGGAGGCTTTTCCTTGCATCCTCCTGTACCTGCCCGTCCTGCTCCTCGGCTGGACCTGGGGAGTCTATCTGGGCTTGTGTGCCCAAGTTGAGTGCGTGTCACCGTGCGTGGGTGGTACCACCTTGCGTTGGCCGTGCTGACGTCCAGGGGCAGGTGGGTCTGTTCTCCTTGCTGATGACTGTGCTGTGCTTTCTCAGGGTGGACCAGTGACGACTGGGTGTCAGGCTAAGCTCCACTGAGGAGGAAACAGAAAAGGTCTTTCTTCTGGGAGAGGAAAGGGAAACTCGTGACTCTGAAACAGGTCACTGCACCTCCCTGTGACTCTCTTCATCTGTAAATTGAAGCTCTGAAGGATTGGAGGTCCTCCCTCCCTACTTTCCTTCCTTCCTCCCTTTCTTCTACCTTCTTTCCTCCCTTCATTGCTGCTTCCTCCCTCTCCTCCCTCCCTCTTTCCCTCCCTTCCTCTCTCCCTCCCTTCCTTCCTCTCTCCCTCCCTTTCTTTCTCCTTTCCTTCCTCCCTCTCTTCCTCCCTCCCTCCCTCCCTTCCTCCCTTCCTTCTTTCCTTCCTCCCTCCATCTCTGCCTCCCTTCTTTCCTTCCTTTCCTTCCCCTGTCTCCCTTCCTCCCTTCCTTCCCCCTCCCTCCCTCCCTCCCCTTCTTCCCCTCCCTCCCCTCCCTTCCTTCCCCTGTAGGTGAGAAAGTAGCAACCAGCACAGGAACTCTCTTTCCAGGTGTAAGTGCTCTGCTCTCCACAGGTTGTGATGAGTGTTCTGAGCCCAATGATGCTTTCTGGTGCCTCCAGTTTCTAAGGTGCCCACATGGAGAAAGGCCAAAAGTGGCTCACTGTAACCTCAAGAGCTGCAGGACAAGATGTGGGGTCAAGGTATAAGAGAAAGCTTGGATTAGAGTCTAAGGTCCTAAGCCTTCCCAGTCAGTTCCTGCCTGTGTTCTCACAAGGAGTCCCATTCCCCACTCTGGCCTTGGTTTCTTCCTTGCAAAACAGAGCTAATGCCAACTTCACAAGCTTGTTGTAGGGTCAGTGTACAGTCTGTGGTCATGGGGTAGCCTCCCGCCACCCACTGCTTTGGATCTGAGTCGGGCTGAGTCTCAAGTCTCATCCTGTCTCTGGGTGTGTTGCTGCATAGAAGTGAGGACAATTGGAAACAAGGATCAGGGCCTCTCCTTGCTCTGTAAATTCTTTCCATTCACTTTTCACTTTTCCTCACTGTCTAAACAACCACATCTTTAGCAGAGGCTACACCAGCTTCCAATAGGAGTTAAACTCAAGAAATCCGCAAGCGAGTCCCACGAAGTGTCGTAGGTGCTAGGTGGACAGGATATAGACATCAACTGTATCCTGCCTCCAGAGGAGGAACTCCTCTCATTATTCCTGTATTATTCCAAGGGATTTATTATCCCAGGGGCCAGAATCACCAGGGGGCCATTGTTCTTTCTGCTCAGTTATCAAGAACTCTCAGCTGCCCTAAATCAGAGTTCTTGGAAGGGAAATGGCTTTTGTGAAATTTATTTTTGTTTGTACCAACTAATTATTCAATTAAAGGGATAATAATTATTTACTTTCAAAAGTAACAGATTTTAAAAGATATTCAAACAGAAGAAAGCGTCCTCTATGAAAACTGAGGTCTCTGTTGCTCCCAGCCCCTCCCCAGCAGAGGCTGACTGTTCCTTCCTTAGACTGAGGTTTTTGGTGTGTGTGGGGGGGTCCTTGGCCTTTGGGGAGGGAGGCATGTAGCAGCCACTCTGCTTTCCCAGTCAAAGCTCTGGATCCAGAATGGAAGGAGAACTTTGCAAGGAGTTGAGGGTCTCCCAGAATGCTGGAGGGAGGCTGCTTCCTCAAGGTCCTTGCTGGGAATCCAGTTTAGTACCTCCAGGGGCGCCAAAGCCTTGGGAAGAGGGGTCTACAATGGGAGACCTCTAACCTACTTTTGAGAGACACACTGGCCCTGTGACAAAACAGCTTTACAAATATTTATTGAGTGACTACAATGGGCCAGAAATAACCCTGGCCTCAGACTGAAGCTGGAATTAGGGTGACTGAGGAAGTGGATCTGCAAACCTCACTGTGTGAGCAAGTGGAAGGAGATAACATTGACCAAATATCTTCTCACTGTCAAGAGCTTTTGTTAGCGTATTTTTCATTTGTTTTTTAAGTGCACAAGTCATGGGGGAATCTGTTTTCCATGTAAAAATGGAAACATGACAGATAAGATCTACCATTTTGAGGCACACCTGCAGTCCTTTTTTGCTTTTAGGTTATCTTTTAAATACATTGAGAGACCCAGAGCCCAGGGCCAGCCTCAGAGAGCAATCCTCCTACTGGTGGTCTCCTGCACAGCTGGAATGACAAGCATGAACCACCATTCCCAGCTTACTAGTTTAGATGAGATCTTGCTAACTTTTTGCGTAGGCTGGCCTTGAACTGTAATCCTCCTGATCTCTGCCTCCCAAGTAGCTAGTATTGTAGGGCTAAGCTACTGTGTCCAGTTCTTCTAACTTTTTTTCTGTGCATTTTATATACGTGTGGTTTGATTAATTTATCTTTTAAGGTTAATAGTATCATGCATGCATCATACATATCTTTTTTTTTTAATTCTGGATTTTTTTTTTTTTTTATATAGAGGTCTACTCACCCCTCAGAGACCTAAGGCTTCCATATATAGTGTTTCATGGGATGCCCAGATAAACCCATCGTACAGATGAGCCCACAGAGGCTCAGGGTATGTAAGGGACTCCCCAGAGCAGGTGAGTTGTGAAGCAGGATTCAGATGGGGATTTGTGCTTCCAAGTTTAGGGTGTATGTTTCTGCTACAGTTGGGATCTGTAGTGTCCCTCAAAAGACCACGAGTCAGATGCTTAGTCCTCAATTTGGAGCAATTGAGAGGTGATGGGAACTTTAAGAGGTGGAATCTGGTGGGAGGAAGCTATTTCATTGGGGTTGTGCCCTTGGAGGTGATATGGGACCCCATCTCCTTCCTTTCTTTTTGCTTCTGTTCACTGTGAAGTGGATAGACCTCCTCCACCATGTGCTCCTGCCATGGTGTCTTGTGCTGCCACAGATCAAAAGCAACACAGCCAAGTGACTATGGACTAAAATGTCTGGTACTGAGAACCAACACAAACTTTTCCCCCTTGTAAGTTGTTTATTTTGTCACAGTGATGGAAAGGTGACAATGCCCTTTACCTAGTCTGCCTGTGGTTGGTGGCCTAAGTTTCTTTTGACCTGTGATGTATCCAAAACGGCCATTTAAGTGGCAGATTGATGGTGATAGAAGGATCTCAATTGTACCCCTTCCCAGTTACTATGCCTCTCTGGCACCCCAGGATAGCATCTAAGTCCCTCTTCGTGGTGAGAAAGCTTCTTCTGGGCATGTCCTGTTAATGTCCCTAGCCTCGCCTGGTTAGGGCCGTGCTCTGCAGCCTGGTCACAGTTCTAGAAAACACAAACAAAACCAACCTCTACATGTATGGCTCCCTTTGTGCCATGCCATTTCCCTCCTCCCAGTCTTCACCCATGAGGTCTTCTTTGCTGAGAACATCTCCTGGTCCTAGCCTCTTTTTCCCTTTATGACATACGAGGACCATCTTGTCATTGCCCTTCCAGGTTGCGTTAGTGTCTCCTCTGGTCTACAAGGTCTTGCACATGTTCCTATCAAAGCATTTCTCATCCCATTCTAACCACCACTATATCTGTCCCCCACCCTTGGGGGGAGACTCTGTGAAGGGAGGGTCACTGTCTAATTCACTTGTGTCTCCAGGCCCTCCACCAGGCCTGCACTCATGGTTTGTGGAATACATGGCTGCCTGCAGAACGAAAGATTGAGTTTGTTGTCTTGTGTTGGAGTTTCCAGGACGACGGGAACAAGACTAAGCACACAAGATGATAGTGCTGGGAAGAGAACTAGGGCCTCTTGAACTCTGCAGATGTATGATGACGAAACTGGAGCACATGTTCTCAAGCCATTTCCAGGCTCCATGACTTCTAATAGCTCCCTTATGCTCCCCTTTTTTGTCTCTTTCACCTGCTCTATAAGGCTGTTGAGGGGGATTTGTGCTGAGGTTTTCATCTGAAAACAGTCCCAGCAAGGGCAGGCTGAGCCCAGTGGCTTCATCTCCTTGGTGACATCCCTTTTATTCAAAAGGGCATCCAAACCCTTTGCTCACTTCTGAAACTGGCAGGGACTTCCTGAGGAGAGGGACTGGGGAGTTCACTCTTTGGAGGAACATTCGCCCCCTCAAGATAACGGCTAAACCACATTATCTCTAAGCAGCCTCTTGCCTCAAAATCCCAGTGTCATCTTTGTTACTGGTAGAACTGGGGGGGAAGCCCAAAGCTCTCACCCATTTCCTTCCACTTCCCCTTTCTCTGAACAAATTGGAGGGAAAAGCTCTCTTCATTTCTTCTTCTTTTTTTTTCTTAATATAATTCAACGCTTCTTTCCTATGAAAGTACAAAAAAGTATTTTAAAAAGATGGAAAATGGACAGCAAGTCTCTAATAAGACCCCATCATATTTAGTGTCTTTTTTCTCCTGATCTTTTTTCTATATATAGGATTTTTTAAAAGTTAGGTGATATCATAATGTACCTAAAAGTGTGTGCAATACAGATGTACAATTTAAGGAGTAAATAAGAAAGAATGCCCATGTATCCATCTCTTAGCTTAGGAAATAGACCATCACCAACGCCTCAGAAGCCCTTGTACCTCCTGTGACCATGTGTGTCTCCCTCCCACTTGGGTTTTGTGTCACCCATTCCTTTACCTTTCTCTAGAGTTTGTATATCTATTGTATCCCAAGCTCTGCAATGTTTTTGACCTCTGTGCAGTTGGAGTGTATTCTTTGTACCTGGCCCTTTTCATTCATTCTCTGCAAAATTCACCTGTGTTTCTGTGAGGTCTGTAGTTCATTTTCTTTGCTGCACAGTGTGTGCTGAGTGTATATACTATACTCCAACTTGTCTGCTCTCCTGACGTTTTCATCTTTAAAACCTTTTATTACGCTAAATCATTAATGTGGGAGAAATACATGCAGCATACATTTTACCATTTTACTCATTTTTGAGTGCCTCGCTTGGTGGCACTGGCTGCACTCATTGTTGGGTGACTTTGCCACTCTCCATCTCCACAGTTTTTTTTTTTTTTCATTTTTGCCAACTGAAACTCAGTACTAGTTAAACAGTAACTGTCCTTTCTTCTCTGCCCTGGCCCCTGCCAGCCACCATTCTACTTTCTGTCCCTATGAATCTGACTACTTTAGGGACCTCAAATAAAAGGGATCATACAGTGTTTGTCCTTTTGTGGCTGATTTACTTCACTTAGCACAATGTCCTCAAGGTTCATCCATGTTGTACATGTGTCAGTATTTCCTTCCTTTAAAAGGCTATATAATATTCCATTCTGTATATTATGTTCAATTTTTTTTTGCAGTACTGGGGTTTGAACTCAGGCCCTACACCTTGAGTAGGAGGATGGAGTCATCAGCTCCCTTTTTTTGTGTGTGTGATGGGTTTTTCGATATAGGGTCTCACAAACTATTTGCCCAGGCCAGCTTTGAACTGCAATCTTCCTGATCTCTGCCTCCTGAGTAGTTAAGATTATAGGTGTGAACCACCAGTGCCCAGCTACAACTGATATTTTTATATTAACCTCATTCCTTGAAACTGTGTTGAACTCACTTATTACTTCTAGTGGGTTTGTTTTAGACAGAACTGTCTTTTCAGAAATAACTGAGCAAAGATATTTTTACTTTTCCCCTTACATATGTGTACACACAGATACACACACACACACACACACACACACACACACACACACACTGCATTGTATATAAAGATGTTCCACAGCTAACGGTGGAGTTAATATCCTGATGAACCCATTGAAAACATTGTAATGAAAATGTGCTGAATCCACCTAATCTACCAAATACCCCAGTTGGGCAACATGGCACAGTGAGGAGCAAAGACATTTCTTCTTGGGATGGATTGCAGGCCCGGCCGGGAGCTGCGGCTTGCTCTGCTGCCCAGCATCAGAAGAGTATTGCGTGTGTATAGCCAGTCCGGGTAAAGGTCAAAATTGGAAGTACAGTTTCTTCTAAAAGTGTATTTCTCTCACATCACTGTAAAGCTGACAAGTTCTAAGTTCAGCCATCCTAAGGCAGGGTCTGCCCGTATGCAGCATATTTTGTTTATCTGTTTGTCCATATGTGGACACTTTGGTTGCTTCTGTCTTTTGGCCATTGTGAATATGTGCAAACAAACACGGTCAAATCTCTGCTTTTGGTATGTACCAGCAGTGGGTTTCCTAGACATATAGTAACTCTGTTAATTTTTTTTTCAGTACTGGAGATTAAAGGTGCTTGGTAAGTATTCTCACCACTTGAGCCACACCCCATAACAAAATATTTGTTATTTTGCTTTGGTGGAGGAGTACTGGGATTTGAACTCAGGGCCTCACACTTGCTAAGGCAGGCTCTCCACGGCTTGAGCTATGCCCCTAGCCCTTTTTGCTTTAGTTTTTTTCTCCCCCCTAAATAGGGTCTCATGTTTATGGCCGGGCTGGCCTGGACCATGGTCATCCATTTATGCTTCCCAGGTAGACAGAATGACAGGTGTGTCATATCACACCCAGCTTTTACTAAAAAGGTTGAGATGGGGGGTCTTGAGAACTTTTTGCCTTTGCTGGTCTCAAACCACCATACTCCTGATCACTGCCTCCTGAGTAGCTAGGATTACAGTGTGAGCCACTGCACCTGGGCTTGATTATGGCTTGTAATCTGATCTCTTATGATGGCTTTTGATAAGCAGAAATTATTTTAGTCAAATGTATTCATCTTTTCCTATACAGTAGTACTATCTGTATTTTGCTAAGATATCTGACTCTACCTGCAATCATAAAGATATTCTATATTTTCTTCTAAACCTACAAGCTCTCTGGGGCTTTTGATTGGAATAGCATGAGGATAATTTGCAGAAAATTGCCTTCTTATTCATGAAGATGGTATACATTTTTATGTATTATGTTTATGTTAATAAACCTCCATAATTTTCTTTAAAAACTTGTGCCAACTTATCTTGAATTCTTCACATTTGTGGTGCTTTTGTAAATAGTATCTATATTCCTACAAATAGCTAAAAGTGTAGCCAGGCACCCCTGGCTTACACTTGTAATCCTACCTACTCGGGAGGCAGAGATCAGGAGAATCATGGTCTGAGGCCAGCCTGGGCAACAAGAGTGAGACACAAGAAAAAAGGCTGCCAGAGTGGCTCACATGGTAAGAGCACCTGCCTAGCAAGTGTGAGGCCCTGAGTTCAAACTCCAGTACCACCAAAAAAAAAAAAAAAGTACCCATAGTCACACTGTGCCTAATGTGCTTTTCCTCCTTGTATCATATGAAGACAGTTTTTTATTAAGGGTTACTGAATATTTGTGGAGAGAAGCAACTACTCTGCTACTACAGGACATTTCAGATTTCTTGGTATCATTTTGCTCTAGTCTCATTGGCTGTTTAGTTTTCCCATAAGAACTTGAAGTTTGGAGTCTGCCAACCTTGAACTGCAATCCCTGCTCTTAGACTGCATCCCTAACCCCTCTGTGCCTGTGCAGCATCTCTAAAGTGGAGGTGGTTACAGTCACTCCCTCAAGGGCTATTGTGATTGTTAGATGACACAGCAGGGTAAGAGCTCAAGGAAAGTTAGCTATTGTTATTTCTCAACACTAACTTTCACTTTCCTTTTATTTTGCTGGGTACTGATTGTTCCAGCTGAAATCAGTGTTTGGAAAATTGGGAAAGAAAAAAAAAATCTGCATTTCTGTTTTCTGTTTTACTTTCTTTCCCTCTCACACTGTTCCTCTTCCTGTTCCTTGGCCTGGGTTTGATTCAGGTGGCCAGTGCTGACTGTAGGGCTTGCAGCCCCTCAAGTGGCCAGCAGAGTGGAGAGTGAGGGAAATTTCTTCCTTGAGAAGCCACCTCTAGGCAGCCTCCTGAGTCTGTTCCCTTCTTCCAACCCCCAGCCTCTGCCTGAAGTCAGGTCTCCTGTCTGCACCCCCATCTCCCTGCCTCTCCCCATATTCCCCCATGAACAAGACTTCACCCATCTCCATTCTGAGAATGCTACCTCCTGCTGAGTGCCTGACCCCCCCAGTGCCTTTAGGATGAAGTCTAAGCTCATTTGAGTCTGTTTTTCCAAGCCCTGGATGAACTGGCCTCCACTTAACAGCTCTATCACTGACCAGACTCCTGTGTGTCTTACACCTACTAGTAATTTGCAACACAAAATTGCTGAGTAGGAATCATTCTTCCATTTAACAGATGAGAGCACTGAGCCTCAGAGATAAAATGACTCTTCAGAGGCTCCAGAGTCAGGAAGTACAGAGCAGGATTTGAATCCAAGCCTCTAGCTCCCAGGCTAGCTTTGTTTCCCCCTATACTATGGCTTCTCTCAGCATACATACTGAATAAATACTGGTTAAACTGGAAACCTCAGTTGTTCCAGTTTAACATACAAATGGCTGTGTGAAGCCTGGCCCACTGAGTCCAGCTTTTTTAAACTGCTTTTGAAGAAGTGACCCTGAGAAGGTCTGAAATGGGGTAGGAAAAGGTAAAGGTCAAAACTACAGGCTGGAGTGAAGACAAAGCTGGGTTGTCTGGTTCTTCACCTCAGGCTGAGTTCCCAGTGCTGGAGTTAGGCTGAGCTTGTGGGCTGGGACAGTGATGTGGCTCATGGAAGGGGCAGGGCGGGGAGAGTGGCGAGGTAGGGGCAGAGGATGACTTAGTGAGGAGAAGGGGAAGTGATTACCACCAGGAAATAATCATGCCGAAACCACTCTTGGAGGATCATCAGACCATTCCTGACATGGATGAAGTTAAAAAATAGCAATACATTGTGGTTGGTTGTCTTGAACAGGACTTTGTCCTCCTTCCCACAAGGGAGAAGTTAGCTATGCCCTGAACCTGGGCGAATATTCCTACGGCGGGATTGGGATATTGCCCAAGAAAGACTTAGGGAACACACAACGAAACCATGGCCATGTCCTCTTAAAGACCACTCAGACACTTGGGTCAATGCAACAACAATCATTCACACTTCAAATGCACACTTACAAGGTCCAAGAGGGAGTCATGGCACAGGGCAGTTGCCTCTCAGAGCACTGTGGCAGGTAAGGCTTGTGCTCCACAAGGGAGCCTACCAAGCAGCCAGCTCATTCAGGCTGAGATTGCAGAAGTCAGTCTGCTTGGGAGGGAGAGCTACTACACTGCAAAACCTCTCTCACTTGGAAGAGAGATCCTATGACAAGAAGAGGCAGATATAGGAGAGAGACCCTTGATGCTAGCATATGTTGCATTGGAGGATGTTGGAAACTGCACTCTGCTGAATCCTCAGCAGATGCCCTTTTTATATGTCTTTTTCCTCCAGGGTGTTTCCTTCCTATGTCCTTTAATCCTCTGTTGATTGGTTACACCTTTGGATGTATCCTAGGTGGGGGTCTGAGGCAGGCTACTGTAGACATCATCACGTCTTACCATGAGTGTCACCATATTGGACACCATATTGGGCGTTTCTTGGCTGCATGCCTCATCAGTCTTGCCCATATAGATGGCATCCTGGTGTTGGTGGCAGCTGATTATCTATAGTCCTGAGGTCTGGTAGCTCACTGATTCTGATTCTAAACTGCACTACACTCAAAATGCAGGCAAACTTTGCAGTGTGTTAAGTGAGGCTTTATGTTCTCTACAGTGGTTTTTTTTTTTTTTTATTTTAATAGGACTGGGGAAGGGACCCAGAGCCTTGGACATGTGAGGTACCTGAGGTACCTCCTCAGCCTTTGAAATGTAGTACTTAAATATTTTCGTTTGCCTGGCCACTCAATCATCCCTATGAAAAGTGATCATCACTATTCCTTTTTTACAGAGGAGATTAAAGGCTCAGAGAGTTAAAGGGCAAGAAATGACAAAATCCAAGATGTACTTGGGGCTGCCCAGTGCCCCTACCCTCACCCCTCCCTGCCCCTTTGCCCCCATCTGCAGTCCCCTCTGCTCCTCCAATGCCAGGTAATTTGAGGGGAAGATAAATATTCTGCTTGATGTAAAATATTCCAAGAATAAAGGAGAAAGATACCACTGGGTGAACGTAACTTAGCCACTTCTACTGGCTGCTCATGTTCTAAATACCCAGGACCCATGCATTCCCTGCCTAAATATTCCCAAATCCATTTCCAGGACTTAGGTAGGACTCTTCCTGAGCCCCACCTAACGAGGATAGTCCTAGGGCTGAGGATGACCAAGGATGTGAGGATGGTGCTCTGGGTGTGAGGATATCAGCGAGTAGGGCAAAGAGAATTCACACTGGGCTGTCCATTCAGGGATCCAGAAGCTGGGTAGAGGCAGGAAGAAAAGTGGCGGCGAGCCGTGGTCAGGGGCATCCTTTTGCTGTCTTTCTCTGGGCCCTATAATGTCAAGGATAGGCCTAGCTGGCAATAGAATTATTTTTCTATGTATTTAATATACATAGGTCCACAGAAGAAATCGTTCAAAGGGTAGAAAATGGTAAGATAAAGCTTATAGGCCTGCCCCAGAGATAACCACTCAAGCTAGATTTCTGTTACTGTTATAAATACCTGAGGTATTTAGCTTCTAAGAGAAAAGATTTATTTTGCTCACAGTTTTGGTTAGCCCAGTTGCTTTTGGGCCTGTGGGGAGGCAGCAAAACATGGAGAGAGCACATGCATGGAGCAAAGCTGCTCGCCTGATAGTGCTGGGAAACAGAAGGAGGAAGAAGAGGTTGGGGGTCTCACCATCTTCTTCAAGGGCACAGTCTCAATGACCAGAAGACCTCCCACTAGGCTCCACCTCTTAAAGGTTCCACCACTTCCCACTAGTGCCAAACTGGGGACCAAGTCTTCAACACATAGGCCTTTGAGGGTACGTATCCTAACCATAGAAGCACTATAAAGAGTTTCTTGTGGTTTTTCCTGTGAGTCTGAGCCAGACCCCAGGGAAGGCCTGGGAGACAGCAGCATCCCAGCTTGACCACCAGCCAGATGCTCAGACTCTTAGCTATGGTTGTGTCAAGTGGGAAATGCCAGGATCAGCAAAAGGCAAAGAAGCCCACGTTCCTGGAGAGCTGGAAGGAGAGTTTCACAGGTAGTGTTCAAAATGGAAAGCCAGGGACCCAGTGGAAAAATAAAATTAGGGGAAATATCAGGAGTATTTAAATGGAGTTTTCAGAAGATGTGATAAGCCCTGTGCCACGTAACACCTTCCTCTGACTCTTCACAAAGCTCATTGAGGCTTCTGTTTCTGGCAATATGATAGACCAGATCATGATCAAAAACAATAAAATCCACACATTTGGCAAGACTTTTAGGGTTGGATTTGTGATGTAGGGAGAGATTGACAGGCTATGTTGAGACTGACCTCAGATCATGGGAAGGGCAGAGTGGGAGCACATTCCAGTTGGGTAAGGTGCCTACCTGCCCACCTGCACCCTCCCCCCTCCTTCCCTCCCCCCTTCCTTCCCTTCTTTCCTCCTTCCCTCCCTCCCTCCCTCTCCTTCCTCCCTCTCCTTCTCCTTCTTCCCTCTCTTCCTTCTTTCCTCTCATTCTTCCTTTCCTTCTATCTACTTACCTAACTACCTACCTATCTGTTATGTACTCACTCTTCGTGTGCAGAATGGATCTTGCTGTTCTTCAACCTAAATTTCAAATTCTCTTCTCTCTCTTGGACAGCAACATCAGTCCGTGGTAATCCAGGACATTCCAGGGATTTTTGCCTGCTATTTCCAAATCTCTATTAGCCCTAAAACAAGGCCTGGCCACGAGGAATGGCTTAATCATTGTTGAAGTGAACTGAATCTAGAAGTTTCTTGTGTGTTTGTTACAGATGGAAAAGCGGCTCTACCCATGAAGCCATCTGCTTTTGACTTTTCTTGTTTTACATTAAATGATTCTCTTCAATTACCATTCCCCCAGCTTCTATTGCATTTCATGATGTTTAGAGTGGCTCATCAGATCCCCAAATAACATGTTAAAAGAAGACATTATTACTGTTGAGCTCTATGTTGTTACTCTTGCTTAAACCTCCTGGTGGGTCATCGCCCCACTTAAATACCAGGTACTCATCGGGGTTAACCTCCCTGCTAGGCAGCTCCCTTCCTCCCCAACAGGGTCTACCCACACTGACCTCCTTCCACATCCTTGGGCTCTGACGCTTGCTGTACCTTCTCCTTGGAATACTGTCCACGTGAATCTGGTCAAGCTGCTATCACAGAATACCAAAGACTGGGTGGCCAAAACCACAAAAATGAGCTCACACTTCTGAGGGCTGGAAGTCCAAGATCAAGGTGCTGGAGTTTTGGTTGCTGCTAAGGTTTCTTCCTTGGACTCAAATACCTGTTTTCCCACCATCTCACATATGGCGCTGTGTGGGCATCACTGCTCTCCGTGGGTGTCCTGATTTTTAAGATTTTTTATTATTTATTGTTAATTAATTAATTCATTGATATCTCCTTTTCTTTCTTTTGGTGGGAGTAGGATTTGAACTCAGAACTTCATACTTGCAAAGCAGGTGCTCTACCACTTGAGCCACGCCTCCAGTGCCTTCTCCACTTCTTATAAGGACACTAAACACATTGGGTTAGGACCCATTCTAATGATCCCTCAGAGACCGAGGCCCTATCTGTACAGTCACATACTGAGGTACCAGGAGTTAGCACTTCAGTGTATGAATTTCGGAGGGGGCACAGTTCATCCCCTAACACTGCCTCCGACCTTTCCAAAGCTGGGTTCTTCTCCTGGTTAGATCTCAGCTCAGGTGTCCTCACCTCCAAGCAGGCTTTCCTGATTGCTCTCTACCAGTCAATTCCTCTATAATATAACACCCTGCCACTTCTTCCTTTGTACATAATCTGTGCCAGCAAATATTCAACGACCAGCCTTTTGTTGCAGCAGGATCGGGGAGGGGGGCTTTAGAGTGTTTTCAATCTCTGTGGTGTAAATCGCTCACCACAGCAGACTTCAATCTACTAACATGGTGTCAAACAGCTCTCAGTATTCCTGAAGATCTAGCGACCTGTTCTCTCGAGCAGGTGCAGGAACATAACTCACTCATCCTTCTTCGAGGCAATGTCTCCAAGTAGCTACAAGTTTCTGGGATGAAAGTATGGCTCAACACATTTTAGGTGAATAAACTGAATTCGTTCATGAGTTTGCCCTTGTTGGCTACTCTCACCTTTTCATTGGCCCTTTGTCTTTTAGACTCTGCAGTGCACTGCTGGAGACATCCAGGTCCTCAATGGCCATACATCCCCTCATGAATCTCCTACCAGATAACCCTAACCCTGGAGGAAGTCCACTGTCACGGGATTCCTGCAGGCAAGGTAATGTGCCCTCTGGTCCCTGCTCACAGTAGGGACCTGCTTCTTCCTCTGGCCCCCCTGGGGGCTACTGACCCAAGTACCTGACACACAGTGGGACTCACATGAGTAAGTGAACGAGTTCCAGGCAGGGGGAGGGGAGGCAGAGGGGGGAGGAGAGGCTCACCTACAATACAATCTGTTCAAAGGCTGGTCTCACCCAAAAGGAATGGAAGAAATTTTCTATCGGTGAAAGAATGGAGAAACTGATGAGTAATCAGATGCCTGGAGTAATGATGATTAAAGAGTGCTGGGGAAAGAGGTCAGAAGCCTGTGAGGGCCAGGAGAGCGCTCTGAGCTCTTGGTGGGTGGGACCTGACTGTTATCAGAAGATGACAGCTCTTCATTCCTGACCTATTAGGTCACAGGGTCAGGTCACTGAATGAGGAGGGCTGGGCTAGATGTCACCATCTGAGCCCCACCTAGATTCACTGCCTTTCTAGAGTCTGTCACCTGAAGGATGAGAGGGTTGGGGTTCCTTAAGGCAAGTTCTTAACCCAGGACAGAGTGATCTATCAAAATGGGGTAATAGTAAGGTGTCCCATACAATGATCAGGAGGGGAGTGGGGACGATGCTAGCTAGCATGGTGCCTGGTATGGCATCAAATAGGCACTCAAATAATGTAGGAGGACACTGTGAGTGTTTATTTATCCACCTGAACCAGGGATGCTGTTTCTGTCCTTGCAGTATCCCAAGAACTGAAAAAAAGTGCCTGGCACACAGCTGGCACTCAATACATGTTTGCTGAGGGCATGAGTGAGCCAATGACGTAACCATCTTCTGGTAACAGACCCAGAAAGACAGCTCCATGCCTGAGAGCTCAGTTCCCACCGTCAGTGCTGCAATCCTCCCCTTTCCCCGCCTGCCACCCAGTGCAGTCCTGACAGACAGTGACCACACAGAGCCTGTGACTGATGACTCTGTCCCTACTTCTCTAAACACTCACTGCCCAGGCCCATGGAATCCCAGAGAAGCTTGTCAGGGGGAGCTGATGACTTGGGGAGCAGTACAGTTGCACTTTCCCGTTAGCTGAGCACTGGTCAGCAGGTTGACTGGACCAACAGGTTCTGTTTGGGGGAGGGAATAGAACAGAACGTGCTGCCCCAAGGAGGAAGACACCACTCGGGCCTCCATGAAACAGGAAGTGAGCCCTGGCTAGTCCCACACAGCAGCCTCTCTTTGTTTGAAGGTCAGATCTCTCCTTCCTCTGACCTTGAGCCTGCCCTCATCCTGGGAAACCACTGAGGCCTCTGTAGTGAGTCTATGAATAAGGGCTCACAGAAGGGGTCAAGTTCATGGACAATCTAATGTAATGCTGTGCTAAAGAAGAGCTGAGTAACTAGCTGAGTACTTACTCTGCTTGATCCTGTGCTAGCTGAAATTATTCTATCTCATTCACTTTAAAGAGAACCAGCTGTTCCCCAGGCACTCTGCTCTTTGCTGGAGCTGGGCCTTTGCACAGACTTCAGACCCCCAGCCTGTGCCCCAGTCCCCTCCTTACCCAGAGCATTCCCCTCCATGCCCCGCACGTAGAAGGGTTCCATAAAGGTTGGCTTCTCTCTTCTCAATTCCTTGACCCTCTGTCTCTATCTCTTCTATGGCCCTTGTCCATTTGTCTTTATTTTTATTTAATTTTACTTTTTTGTGGTACCGGGTTTTGGACTCAGGGTCTACACCTTAAGCCACTCCACCATCCTTTTTCTGTGTTGGGTATTTTTGAGATAAGGTCTCATGAACTATTTGCCCAGGCCTGGCTTCCAATCATGATCCTCCTGATCGCTGCCTCCTGAATAGCTGGAATTGCAGGTGTGAGCCATCAGTACCCGACTGTCCCATTTGACTTCATGTCATAAATTTTGTCTTTATTCTAAGAACATTTATTGTCACAAATGTACCTACTATGGTGACAAAGGAATCAATGGCCTTCTGGGAGGGCACCAGACAGGAGATATTCAATTATTTGCCTGTAGAATTTATGGTCACCTCCAGCAAGAAATATCAGAGGAGAAGATGAGACCAAAAGAAAGACAATGAGAGAAGTTTCTGGAACTAACACTGGTTAAACACCTATATTCTTCACCATCAAGCCTATGACATAGTTATTGTGGTCCCCATTTTCTAGATGACAAATGAAGGCACAAAGAGATGAGGTGACTTGCCCAAGTTCACACAGCAAGCATGGTAGAGCTGGGATTTGAGCCCAACTTTCCAGTTCCACCATATGGGCAGGTGGATTGTCCCTGCAGTATGAGTATGGGGAGAACAGAGAGGATTTCAGGATGCAGCAGAAGGAATGGATCACTCCCAGACTGCTTTTCAGATGTTCTCTGTCATGGCTTCCCAGGACAGATGTTTGCTGGCCTGTGAATCAGCCCAGGCAACTCCAACACTTTTAACTACTTTCCCTTGAGGCTGCTCTGCTTTTTAAGTAGCATTTTTTCTTTTCTTTTTTTTTAAGTATTGATCCTGTCCTAGCACTTCCCTTTCACTCCCTGGCCCCAGGGTTTGGGTAACCTTAACCCCGCTGGATTGTGCAACACCCACAAAGGCTCCAGGAACCCACAACTTCTCAATAATGCTGAACTGGGTGAAATTTCCCAGTAACCGCCTCCCCCGCCTGACTAACTCGACCTTCACTTGGCAGTGCTGCAACGCCCTGTTTTTAAGGAACCCAGTCATTTGGTTTAGATTCATTTGCTGTATTTTAATGGCTTTCTGAATCATTCATTTTTCTACTTTTGAACTGATTCACTCTTTGCCACTTCCTTGTATAGAAATCCAACCCCTCCTTCAATACTTAACACTGACAACCACCTTCCTCCAAAAATTATCCACATCTTTATCACCATGGCCCGCCCCCACTCCCCACCCTCCGCACCACTCATCTGGTATTTGTTGTTGTCATCATCACTGTAATGATAATCATACTAGCCAGTCACTTGAGTCATTTCTTATAATTCTCACCAGGACCCTGGGAAGAAAGTGATTATTATTTCCAATTTACAGACAATGAAACCGAGCCTTTAAACCAGATGCCAGTGGCTCACACCTGTAATCTTAGCTACTCAGGAGGCAGAGATCAGGAGGATGGCAGTTCGAAGTCAGACTGGGCAAATAGTTCTGGAGACCCTATCTTGAAAATACTCATCACCAAAAAAGGGCTGGTGGAGTGGCCCAAGATGTGAGGCCCTGGGTTCAAGCCCCAGTACTGCAAAAAAGAAAAGAAAAGAAAGAAAGAAACCAGGTTTTTGAGAGTTTAAGTCTCTCATTCAAGGTCATTTGAAGGAAGTGATGAGGCTGAGATGCTGGTCTTGCTGCTGGACTCCAAATGGGTATTTTGAAAGGTCCTCTTTGGGTGGGGGTCTCTGCCAACGAACTTGGCTCTTGCTGTGGTGATGGGTTGACATCAGTCTCTGCCTGAGACTATAAATTTATGAAGTACTTGTTCCCTAGTGCACCGTACACAGTTCATATCCGGAAACAAATAGCTGGTGTTCCATAGACCCTGTTCCACAGCCAGAGGACTTCCTGTCTCTTCCTTGCTGTCAGTTGCTTATGAGTTTTTTTGTTTTTGTTTTTAGGTGGTCCTGGGGTTTGAACTCAGGGCTTCACACTTGAGTCACTCTGTCAGCCCTTTTATTTGTGTTGGGTATTTTTGAGATAGGATCTCGTGAACTATTTGCCGGGAGCTAACTTTGAACTGTGATCCTCCTGCTCTTTGTCTCCTGAGTAGCTAGGATTACAGGCGTGAGCCACGGGCACAGGTACTTTATATAATTTTATTTCTTATACTACCAAGTGCTCCGTAGCAATCTCAATGAATTTATCTTGAAGAAGCAAGTGTCAGGCAGGGCTTGGAAGATCTATCGGGTATGTTTTCTAGCTGAAAATCTTATATAGCAAATTTTCAAAAATTATCTTTATAGCTCAGGATGAATGCTGATCCCTTTCACTACTTTTTCTGGGTTGAGCTGACAAAACCTTCAGATGAAGAACTTGATGCAGGTGAATGGGTATCCACTATGGTCCAGGCTCTGTGCTCAGAGGCTAGTGCTGGAGGTGGAAGTCCTCCCTCTCACTCCTTCTGGAAGGTGAGCTCCCTAGTACCCTGAGAGAAGGCATATTCGGAGGGGACAGCAGGCATATTTGGAAGGCAATGGTCCTGTGCTGATGAAAGAGCACCTGACAGCAAAGATCTCAACATGCCAACAGCCTCAGAGAAGGGAATGCAAGTGAGTGACAGAAGAGAGACCTGGGCAAGACCGACTGCCAAATCTCTCAAGGCACATGAGAGGGCAGACCTTACTGGATGAGGAAGAGAAGGTCTGAGGATAAGGAAACCAGGAAGGGGCGGCATGCAGAGACCATTCACCTAATGCATTGTTGCTCCACTGCTGTTTTGCCTGTTGTCAATTGCTGGCTCTGCTTTCTTTTTGTTTTCTTTTCCCCAATGATCCTGTGCCCAGCCTGTCACCTGTAACTCCACAGGAAGGCTTTGTTTCAGATGGATCTTCTGTTACCATGGCGTATTGGCTTTGGGAACTTTGACTCTAGAGAACTGGCTTTGCCTTTGATCACAGCAGTCCATCAGGCAAATGCTGGCCTCTGGAGCCCGACCTTGCCTCCTGGGTAGCAGGGTCAGCCACCAACCTGGCTTTGGTATTGTTGATGGAGCCTCAGTCCACACTGAGCACCTTCTCCGCTGTTCTGCCCTAAGAATGAGGACAAGCACCTCTGTTTGGCAGATGGGGAGTTGAGGCCCAGAGATGAGAAGTCTGTCCCTCAAAGGCTCCAAGACAAGAACATTCCACAAGCATGCAAGGGACTCCATGTTTGGGGTGAACCAGTGAACTCTAACTCAGGAGCTTCATGACTGCAGGACTTAGCCAGAAGGGCAGGCATCCTATCCCAGTTGTCACTGGCAAGCATGAGGCCTCCCAATGACCGAGAGCCAGTGGCAGTGGTGACACCAGCAGCAAACTTTTCCTCAGCTTTCCCTCTGCCCTGGGCTTTTCCCCTTCCTCTTCACTTTCCTCAGCATAGTGAAGAGCCAGAACCCAAGCCAGACAGTCCGGGTGAGGATATCAACTCTGTCATTTACTGCCTGTATGACTTTGAGGAAGTCACTTTACCTCTCTGGTCCTCAGTGTCTTCATCTCTAAAATGAGGCTGTTGCTGGGCACCAGTGGCTCACACCTGAAATTCTAGATACTTGAGAGACTGAGATTAGGAGGATCATGGTTTGAGGCCAAC